CTTGGTCTTGTGAATGTTGGGAAAGTGCTGGTGTAGCTTTTCCTTCACCCTCTTCCAACAGTGCTCAATTGGATTGAGGTATGGGGAATTGGGTGGCCATTCCATAACCTGTATATTGTTTTCAGCAAACCAAGTCATAGTATCTCTTGCAGTATGTATCTTTGCACCATCCTGCTGAAAGATAGAATCCCCAACTGTATCCTCCACCTCCTGCCAGATATCAACTAAGCCATTCTCCAAAACTCTAATATATACAAATCTATCCACACTCTTCTCAAAAAGAGAAATCAGAGGACCCTTGTTTCTACACCAAATACAAGCCCAAACAATCAGCTTCACCCCTGACCCCTTGGTAACCCCATGAATACAGTCTTTGTGCCACTTTTCTTTAGGTATTCTGAATACCCAAATACTCTTAGGATCTTTGAACTTTTCAACCATGCATTCATCACTAAAGATGACCCCTTCAAAGTCTTTCTTTGTCCAATCCTTATACTTCATTGCCCAAGCCAACCTGTTAACAGCATGCTCATCCTTTAGGAGGGCTCTTTTCCTAGCCCTCCATTTCTTTATATTGACTGATGCCAAAGCTCCCTTGACTGTATGAAGGGAAGCATGAGGTTCAACATCATTGTACAATTCTGATAAAGTCTGACAGCGTGCCTTCTTAGACTCTCTTACTAGGCAGTGACAAGTTCTGGTAGTGATAATTCTTGGTCTTCCAGGTTTTGGGAGAGTGTTTGCATCACCTCTCTTTTGGAAGCGGTTATGGAAACTTTGGACAGTACTCTTAAGACAGTGTAAGAGCTCTCCAGTTTCTGAAAAAGAGATTTTTTTTTCCCTCATAGCAACAATTTGCCCTTTCTCAAACTCAGTGAGGTAGCCTGTCTTCTGGGGAGGCATTGTGGTTGAGGGATGGTTGATTGTCAAGGTGGGGTTTTTTGAGGTGTCACTCGGTAACCACTGATTGGATGAATACTTTTGCCTTAGTACTTTACAAAGGGAGTGAAACACTTCTAATTCCCATGAGATATTGTGTAGGGTACACTTGCCTGATATAACTATACCTAGGATTGGTCCTTGATTGCTAGCCAACTCGGTAACTTAAAACTGAACAATTGTGGGATACTTGTAGACATAGTACTGCAGCCAATGCTTGTTAGGTGATTTTAAGAACTTTATCCATCTGTTGCAGCTGTGCAGGTCACTTATCGTTCCTGGTGTCATGTCCTGTTACAGTAGGGGTAGAGGGGTGAGAATATTTGTATCTAAGTCACTTGTACTTGTGATAGTGGAGTAGACGTAGTGAACAAGATATATCTTTAAGACTCATAGAGTAATCCAAGCTTGCGTGATCTTCTAACTGAAAGGAAAAATACATCCCTATTTATACTCTTCTATGGTTACACAAACACTGACTTATACTAAGGAAATCTATAGAACCTGCTAGAATCTTCTAGCATAATAACAGGTCATGTGACTGTGTCACATGACTGACACAGTCACACCACTGTACAGGAATGAGATACCGTATTTTTGAACACCCGTGATAGATAAGATCAGGCTTTAGGGCGCTAGAGCCACATTATCAGAGCCACATTATTATATTTTTCGCCGCACCTCTATATATGGGACTCGGACACCCAGGAGCTTTAGTGATATGTTTGGTAATGTCATGGGGAATCTCTTAGGATGTCCATGTTAAGTGGGTTTACGAGCATTGGATGAATAGAGGGCAGAAGACATTCTTAATTCTCGTTAATCGTAGTACTACCCTCTTTACGCCTTCTGTCCGTTGTGACCAGGGCGAAATTTAGCTTCAAGACATCTTCCAACTGAGTTACCCTCTTAGTTCCACCCGGATTCTTGGATACAACAACTGAATCGTGCCAATTAGGAATGGTGCATCTAATCCACCTAGCAAGAAGCCCAAACTCTATCTACAAATACGGTAGTTGCATTGACAAAGTTTCGAAACTCAGCCTCCTGTTCGAAGCTCCACCCCAGACGAGGATTCTTAATGCCCGTTGCACGCGCGTTCATGTCATCGACGAGCTGCTCAGATCCTAACGGCGGTCACGGTTAGAAGTGTAAATAGTCTTGTGGGGTGTGGGGTAATAAACAAGCATACCAAGAAGTTGTTCAGCTTGAGGCCAGGACATACCGTATAGGTCTGAAAAACTCTCTTCAAAACCAATCAAGTGATTCTTAAAAAGGTAAATGTCCAAGATTACATCACCGGCATGAGCTCGCAGGTTTCCAGAATCAATGATGTAAGGATCGTCAATTCGCATTGCATCTTGCCTTCCACGATAGGTGGCAAACAAGCATTGCTGAATATCGATAGCGGTCCCCTTGAGGGGATGGAGAATGGTGACTTCATGGGTCAGTGCCTGGGTCTTCTCCTCTAGAGCTTCGGTAGCCTCTTTCCGGGCTTCACCCTCTACTTTTAGGGCCTCTTCGTAATCCTCGGTTTTCTTTTGTAGGGCGAGTATCTGGTTTTCCATTTGTTGTATGGAGGGTGGTAGGGAACAGCCAGGCTCGTTGGCGTAAGCGGTCTTGGGATTCGCAGAGTTTCTAACTCGCATCCTGCGGATTGATTGAGCTCCTCTCGCCAAAGACCTCTTGACTCTGAAAATCTCATCCCTATGGTCTCCATTTCCATCGACCTTGGTATAAACCAACCCAGTTACCATCTCGTTATTCTCTTTGATGGGTAAAGGCTTCGGAAACGTATAGGGTTTGATAAAAAAAATAGATTGGGATTTAGTAAAGGGGAGGAAAGTCTTTTTTGAATAATAGCGGTTGGATGAGGAAAAAAGGAAGCCAGAGGGAGAGGGCGGGAGAGAACAACTTTTATTCTCTGTGAAAGCTGACTGGTAATATCAGGGAGACATGTTCCTGCACAAATTTACCTGGGGCGCCCTCGAAGTTTACTAGCCCACATGGTTTAACGCAGTGATATTTTCCCGAGTGATCCCACATGAACAGAGATTCCGGAGCCTTTTTCACCGCCGCAGAATGGTAGTCTCCTGTAGGATCACATCAGGATTCCGAGAGACTAGCAGAAATCTAGATATATATCTATCAGCGAATAGTTTCGACAGGACTCCACATTCCATCAGTCCTACTTACATCTCCAAGACAGTTTCCGAAATCTTCTCTACAATTTCTGCCTCCAATCTCTCGTCCATCTTGTTCAAAGTTGCGTCTTCGACAAGTTTTGTGTAGATGTATTGGATAATGTCTCCCTTTCGGGGAATTATGGATACCGTTACTGATCCTCCAGGGAGATGTCTTTCCACCTCGCTACCAACATGTGGTATCCCTATCATGACACTGACGAGCGCTCTGCCATCGCAAAGGAAGTAATCGAATTCGCGATCGCCTCTCTACTTGCTGGCTCTGCGACATCGAGCCAGGAACAGCTCTGAGAGACCGACCTGCTAAGTGCGCGAAGATTACGCTACCTGTGTTGAGGCTCCGATCCCCACTGCACAATGAGGCGACCCCCCCCCCTCAGGAATAGCAATGACCCAAATCTCGAGTCGGAGCCCCACCCAGAGAATGGGCACACCAATACCCCCACACCTAGCGACGATTGGAATGCGGCTAACGACCTCCCACCTGGGCTCCCTTCTGCGAAACTTTGCATTGTCTTGCTGGCAGCTTGGGTTGGCATCCTCCAGGGCACTGCCGACACCACCGTGATAGCTGCTCTCCTAGCACTAATTTCGACTCCACTCCCCCCACCCAATTCCACCTCCCGGACAGCAACCGGTTACTTTATCGCCAATGCCGCTTTACAACCGTTCTTTGGAAAATTAACAGATATCTACTGATGCAAATCTGTCGTTGTACTGTGTAAGGTTCTTTGCAGCGTGGGAACGTTGATGCTTTGGCTTGCAAAGGATCAATACTCTATGATTATTAGTTGGAGATAGGCATTCGTCCTACAAATCCCTTTCATAGCGATTTCCGCTGCTTTGGCGTCAATTTTCGTGTAGATTCGCGGGAAGACCGAAGAGGCAAGGTATCGAAGGATTGATTACCTTGGTTCGGGCACGTTGTTGTGCTCTCTGGTCACCCTCTTGCTGGTGTTGAATACCGGCTGCAATACGCTGCCAACTACCCACCCCGTTGGGATAGCATGTCTACCCTTCGGCGCGGTTTTTCTAGCAGATTTCTCCATAGTCGAGTTGTGGTATGCGAATGAGCCGGTCATCCCAGCTAGACCGTAGGGGAATAGAACCGTGCCAGCGGTTTGCTTTACAAATTTTGTTTATGGTGATGAGCGTTTTTGCTGTTTTGCGTCGGCGCCCACCCAGCGAGACAGATAAAGCTAATGATATTGTCCAACAGTACTGGCAGACTCTAAAATACTTTATCCTCAGTGGTTACTCCACTGCGCAGGCCAGCCTCCGCCTAACACCCTTCGCCATCGGTACCTCAACCGGAAGCCTAGGGGCAGGCGGTATCATAAATGCCACTGGGAAATACTACATCCTCGGCCAAACCGTCATGCTAACATTCTCCAGGGAGTGCTCTCGATCTCTGGATTCACCCAGAAAACCCCGCTCTTTCCACAATTCTTTAACCTTTTCATGGTTGGCCCCGGTTACGGTGGAGCACTAACTAGTATGTCTCCACTTGTTCTGATGCTGATGTCCCGGGCTCTTGGCTCCACAGGAGACTCCAGCTGGATGAGGAAAATAGAGAAAAATCACCAGGAGGGGGGGGGAAGAAGGGTGAGCTATCGTTGATGAGAAAAATAATAATTGCACCCTGGCTTGAACCGGCAACCACCAGCGTGTTGGACTAGTGTAATAACCAACTACACCACGAAACCAGATTAGGGTATTTTTGCTATCCTAGTTCGCGCACTAAATGGGGTGTGATTGAAACTGGCAAAATTCTTTGAAAATATTTTTTGCTTTACTATCGGCTGAATAAACCCGTTCGTGGACCTACCCCGACATCCCAAGTACCGGTATGGACTAGGGCAATATGATAGGGTAGTTTTCGCAGTCGCATCACTCGCATGGCGTTTCTCGCCCACTGTGAATCGCCCACTCGGAGAAAGCTTGGCACACAGACTTTCTGCGGCGCATTCGTGTTTCCTTCGTTAGACTACGGTAGTGCAACCACACCTTCCTCTCACCAAATCAATCCGATCACTGCTTCACCTCCATTGAGCTGAGCTTTATCCTTGTATTTCTCTGCCTATATCGGGTGCGTTACGCCGTATCTACCGCTACCGGGAGTCAATTCAACCCTCTCAATCGCCCGTTATAACAAGGTTAGTCTGTTTAAAACACCGGGGGGTCAACGAACACGGGGGTTCAACGAACAGGCTAGGCAAAATCTCCATTTGCCACTGCACTTTTAGTGTATTGTTCGTTGAGCCCCCGTGTTCGTTGATCTCCCTTCTCGTCTAAAGTTTTTACGGGTATTATCTATAGAAGACTGACTTACTAAATTTATCGGAAGTGAACAGTAGCAATGTCCAGAATTGTCACCAAGCTTGCAGTCAGACCCGCTGTAATCTACTGCTATCCCTCTCATATCCACTATCCATGCAGGGCGATCACTGGTAGCACTGCTCCGGTAAGCTTAATCTTTTAATACTGTAGCCCATAAACTGTTCTAACCAGGCGACAATATTCACTAGAAGAAGCAAACCAATCCTGGGCGTGAGACTACTTCTTCAGAGGTGACCATGGAAGGGGACACTACTTCGGTAAGTTTAAAGTTTTAATAGCCTACAAACTACTCTAACAACATTCAACAGACTCGGAAGAAACAAACCACCAATCTCAAGTGCCGGACCGCCTATTCCAAAGTCAGCATGCTTGAAGCTGAGAAGAGACTCGGCTTTACATTCTTTCACTTTGAAAAGCAAGCCAGACCCATCGGCCAGATGTTGGCACAGGAAAAGCACCAGATCAAAGGTCTCGGAAATGATGAGGTTCAGCAAACCAAGGAAATGGTTTTCGAAAATATTGTCCAATTTATCGAAGGTGAAGGCTATCCTACGGAATCAGATGAAGACTTTAAAGAAGCCAACGTGAACGACTTGGTTTTACTTATAATCCTTCCTATACTCACAAGGTTGAAACGCAAGATGGGATATGAGCTGGTCCTTCGGAGGGAAAAAGAGATTATCGCCGTGGACTCGGAGATGGGCGGTTTTCAGGAGTTTGTTGGTATGGACTTTATTGGGCTCGGGGACAGGGAGTTCTTCCTGGTCACGGAGGCAAAGAAGTCCTTTGTCGGACAGGCGAAGAGGCAATGTTTGTTAGCGCTCAAGGACATGGGGGATAATAACGGCGGCGGGATTGTGTACGGTTTTGTGACTAGTGGGGCACAGTGGCAGATGATCCGGTATGACCACAAGGGTTTTACTCAGACAGACCATTTTCAGGTATTGTTCAGCAGTATGGGACATGAAAAAGAGAGATGGATGAAGGAGCACTCGGCCATTGTTGACTGTATTCACATGGCGTTGAGAAGCGGGGGGCTTGTGGCCCCATAGTTAGGGATGAGGATCTGGTGGAGTTTGTCTTGCTGGGATTTGTTTGTAGTGGCTTGTTGTCCTGGCCAGGGAGTGTAAGTATTTTCAGCGAAGTGGAGGGACTGCATGGTCAACCGCATAATCTGTTGAGAACTGGGAGGCGCAAATACCTTTAAATTAGATTTTTTACCCTTGTTTTGTCTCGAAATCACAATAAACTCCTCTATCCTAGCTCTTTATAGCCGGGACTGGACCTTTCAGGCTCTTTCTCCTTGGCACAGTTGTAAGTTGCACTAGAGCTGTGTCTTTAATTTAACGTACTAGCATCTGCCGGTTCTCCCCAGATTGTGCGGTAGTATGATACTACCCCGCGGTCGATTATACAATCCCTCCGCTTCGCTCAAAATTAGTGTTAGGCACCAGCCGGCTCACGGCGGGCCTGGCCATAGGCTTGAGCTAGTTTGTCTCATAGAGAAAATAGGCTTGAATTGCTAGAGGTCTCGAGCATAGACTCGCTCCTGGTCAAGCTTTCACAGTGTTGGACAATATAGATTGCATGCAGTGTTGTATAGTGGGGGTTGCATACCGGAGAGAGGTTAACGCTTAGTCATCCTGCTTTACTGGCTGTTGTAGTGGAGCAGATTTCTTGCTTCTCCTGAGTACACACGTAGAAATGACTAGACTATCCATTTCACCTTTTGACACAAAACAAGTAATCTACTTCATTTTTTTGTAAATCTTATCTTACCGTTCCTCTGCGCTACTTCCCTCCGGTCCTCAGCATCTCAAAGGTTACCTAATCACGCATTTCTTCTGTCCGCTTCGACTGGCAATCTTCCAAGCACTCTGTCTCCGCCCCTGCCAACCTTGTACCTGGCACCTCATTGCATGTAACTGGTCCCGGTTCTATTAGCTCTCATCTAGTACTAGCTCTAACACACAGATTCATCAAACTTCACTCGTATGCAATGTGGGACTCGGAATTTGTATCCACTCAACATAATACGTTGGGCATATTCAGTGATCCCAAGCGTCCCGGGCGTCCCGGCCAGGTGTTTCAGGCTGCGGGGCGGGTGCGTCCGTCCTATAGAAAAGACTGCCGTCCTCAAGTTCTCAGTAGCACGAAAATCGCTCCTTCAGGACGCCCGTCACCTACAGGGTCCGCCGGTCAACGCCCGTCACATGTAGGGCCCGCCAGTCAACACCCATTGCCTCTAGGCCCCGCCCACCCCCTGTACATTTCCCTCCTATGATTCGCACCGTCCACCAATTCCATACTGACCTTTCCATTTCATGAGATCTAGGGCCTCTGAGTTGTCTACCGCTAGGGGGGGCGGTAAATGGTGAAGTCTATATGTAAATAATTAATGAAAAAAATATATTTTAGGAGGAATTAGTGACAACCCGTTAATGCTAGAGAGAATCCCATTATAAATACCTGATATCTCTACCTTGCAACCAGTTTCCCGATATCCATTTTTAATTCCCATACTATTATTCGCATACCTTCTATTTATTTCTTCATACTTCATTTACTTGCAGGGCCCGCCCGTCATCTCGCGTCACATGACACATTCCGCAACCTGAGACACCTGTAGTCCCCGCCAGCCCGTCCCAGGCTGTCTTCCGGACGGACGC